GTGCCCACATTCCACCACCAAAAACCCCAGTATACCCACATCCCACACCCTCCCCCTACCTGTGGGGCAGATGATTTCCACATTACTCTCTCTCTACTTTGATCACATTCAATATTCCAACACCAGACCCACCATTAATATTTGAGATTTTACCCCAACACTCAGATCTGCTGAAAAGGCAACAATAGACAATTTGTGTTCTATTGCTGGTTGTGAATAACATATGATGTCGCGTGGCTGCAGTAGGGCCATGTGGCTTTGAAATTCTGAAATTTTAACACTTAAATCTGGAGGGATTTCTGCCAAAAGCCCCTGGGTTTCAAGATCTGCTCTGAGTCTCTGGGATCATGGCCGTTGAGCAGCTTGATGAGGAGCCAGAGAGACCGTTCGTGGGCGATGACTTGGGGTCTCGTTGGGGTGGGGAGGACAGGCCCGGCTCCACCCCATCCCGTGAGGCCCAACAAGTTTCGTCACTGCGGGCCCAAGCCTGACTGTCCAGTGGCCTCTGGACGATGACGGCCACCGAGCCGCCAGAAGGAAACAGGCGGAGGGACAGCACCCTTTCCCCCCTGGGGTGGCCTGGCAACAGTAACCTACTGCGGGGTCCAGACACATTTCTGCCAAAAGCCACTGGGCTTCGAGATTTGTTTCTGTCTCTGGTATCAAGGCCATTAAGCAGCTTGATGAGGAGCCAGAGAGGCCGTTCGAGGGCAATGACTTGGGGTCTCGTTAGGGTGGGGAGGACAGGCCCGGCTACCCCCCTCCCCCATCCCGTGAGATCCAACAAGTTTCATCACTGCGGGCCCAAGCCTGACTGTCCAATGGCCTCTGGAGGATGACGGCCACCAAGCCGCCAAGAGGGAGCAGGCGGAGGGACAACACCCTTTCCTCCCTGGGGTGGTCCAGCGACTGTGAGGTCCGGATGCATTTCTGCCAAAAGCCACTGGGTTTTGAGATTTGTTTCTGAGTCTCTGGGATCATGGCCATTAAGCAGTTTGATCAGGAGCCAGAGAGGCCATTCATGGGCGATGACTTGGGGGCTTGTTGGGGTGGGGAGGACAAGCCCGGCTCTACCCCCACCCCGTGAGGCCCTGTGTGTCTCATCACTGGGGGCCGAAATGTGACTATCCAGTGGCCTCAGAAGGATGGCAGCCACTCGGCCGCCAGGGGGAACAGGCCAAGGCACTAAACCTATTCCCACCTGGGTTGGCCCAGCACCGGTAGCCTACTGCAGAGGCCAAACACATTTCTACCTAAAGCCACTGGGTTCCAAGATTCGTTTCTGAGTCTCTGGGATCATGGCCATTAAGCAGTTCAATCAGGAACCAAAGAGGCCTTGCCTCCAATTATATAGCTGAGCCGGAGGTAGTTTGTGGGTATGTTTCCCACATACCTAACTTTCGGCCATTTACTTTCTTGGTAAACTTTGCCTCAAGTTTTTGGGGTCTGGCCAAAGGCACAGCAGCAATTTTGGGGTATCTGTAAGTCTGAAGGCGCCATGAGGCTGCTGATGCACTCGCCTCACAGGTACAGATTGACCTGCTGGCGGCACCACACCCCCAAGATTGTTTTTTTTTTTTTAAAACAAAAGGTCAAGATGGAAGGCTGGAGAGGTGGGAGGGGACTTGGGAATACTGATGGAAAGAAATTGACACTGGCAGTAGGATTGGGACTAGAACATTATGTGTGTCTAAAACTCAGCTATTAATAGCTCCGTAAATCACTATTCTTTACTTAAATAAAAATATTTTAATTAATTTTATGAAGTTTTTCATGATAATTTATTACATTCAATATTCTAACACAGGGCTGCAGCAATAGTACAGCGGGTAGGGCGTTTGCCTCACACACGACCAACCCAGGTTTGAGTCCCAGCATCCCATATGGTCCCCTGAGCACCACCAGGAGTAATTCCTGAGTACAAAGCCAGGAGTGACCCCTGTGCATTGCTGGGTGTGACCCAAAAAGCCAATAAATAAAAATAAAAATTGTTAAAAAAAATTCCAACACCAATTCCACCACCTTTGCACCTTCCCACTACCATTATTTCCATTTTTCCCAACCACCCATCAAGCCTGCACCTATAGCAGGCCCTAAAAAATTTATCTTATATTGGTTGTTATCAAAATAAATATCAAAATAGTTTCTTTAGGAGAGAATATGTGAAGATTGTTGTATCTCACCATGGAGCCGTTAATCTCTTGTATGAGAGATTACTAACATGTTGTTACAGGTTAAGCCTTGTGTGTTTATATTTTGTTAATTGAGATTGGTTTCCTTCTATTTTACATCCCATCTAGTGTGGTGTACTATTCCTGTTTATCAGTGGTGAAGAGTTTGACAGATCACATGGCCATGACTGTGGCTGCACACTTCAGGAGTTCAAAAGTTTTGAATGGGGTGATAAAGCTGGAGTTAAATTTTTAACTGGATAGTGACTTGGGTGTTCCTAATGACTCAGGCCTGGCAGGGAGTCCAGATGCATCTCTGCAAGTCTTTTGAGATTTATTTATGAGTCTCTGGATCATGGTAGTTAATGAACTTATTTGGCACCAGAGGCAATTCATGGGCCTTTGACTGCCAAGGGTTCCAGAAGAACAGAGAAATGGGGGGAGGTAGCCCATCCCTGACTCTGGAGAGCCTGGAGATTTCACTCTCAAAACCCTCATACCTGAGTTTTTCCAACAGATCAATATCTGGATGAGGTTCGTCCCAAGAGGTGGAGTCTAGCCAAGAGCATGGCGGTGATAATGGAGTGTGGAGATTTTCATCTGCAGGGTTCTGTTTGGGTGGGTGATGGGCTCACCCTCAGCCCCCTCTGGGGTGTCCCTGATGACTCAGCCTGGCGCAGGGTCTAAAATCCTAAGTAGGGTCCAGAAGTGTTTCTGCAACTTGTTGATCTCTTTCAATATTTAAATTAAAAAAAATTTTTTAAATTAAACAGAGTGCTATATATTAAAATAGTAATATATATAACAATATATATAATAATATCTAAAGTAAAGACTTTAATAATATATAAAATGGAAACTAACTAATAATAATATATAAAGTTTAGACTTAACTTATCCTACACTAAAACATTAAACTTCAACATTTAAATAATTAAAAATCTTTGATGGGTTTATAATGTAATAGCCTCCAAAAACAATCTGGAAGAGAATGTATAAATGTGGTGCATTCCCACATTGACAGAGGGGTGTATATATGTGCATGTATGCATATGTGCAATGACTAAGAACTCAGTTTCTAATACCTGTTTATTAGCATGATTTTGTAAAATTTGGCAAGATTTTGGGAAAAATACAATTAAAGCCTAGTTTGAAACTTAAGAAAATTAATTTGGTTGGAAAAAAAGAATCAAACCTGTACATGACATTTTTCATTTGTTATCAAGTAAATTTATTAATAAGTTTTATTTGTAGCTATTTTCTAAAAAGACCATTTTTTTAATGTACTACCAATTTGAAGATGACTTGTATAACCTTGTATATTGGCTGCATTAATTAGAGCTAGATTAGTGAGACTCTAGTCAGTAGCTTAATTACCACACAATTAATAAGTAAAATCAACCTCTTTCCCCAAACATAGCATCAACTTTGAATTAAAAAAAAAAAACATGGTGCCTACACAACAGTTTTAACAAAAAATTTTTCTTCATCACAAATATGTATGGTCTAAAAATTGCAGGTCAATTTGTACTTAAATTTATTAAGACTTTCCAGTTATTAAATGAAAAGTTATTAAATGAAAAGTTTTACCTTTTCAGAAGAGAGATGTAGTTTTAGTAATAAGAAGATTAAAATAACACCTATATGTAATTTAACTTCTTGGTGTTCATAAACCTCATTCCATTTTCTTCCCTTTCTTTCCAAGTAAAAAGCAATGATATATCCACTGCTTGACACTAACACGTCATCCAGTATCTCCTGCTGTACACACAAACAACACACACACACACACACACACACACACCCCTCTGTCCTCTGATTTCAACATTAATATGTTTCCTACATGCATGTACATGTATGAGATATATATGTGCATATATATGTTGATTTGAGCATGGGGTCACACTTGGCAGTGCTCAGTGGACCACACATTGCCAGGGATGGAACCCAAGCCTCCTGCACACAACACATGTGCTTCAGTCCTTTGAGCCATCTCATATTGATTTTTTTTCTTTTTTGGGTCACACCTGGCAATGCACAGGGGTTACTCCTTCCTCTGCACTCCTGGCGGTGCTCAGGGGACCATATGAGATGCTGGGAATCAAACCCAGGTTGGTCGTGTGCAAGGCAAATGCCCTACCCACTGTGCTATCACTCCAGCCCCTCATATTGAGTCTTAAGTATGAGATAGTTCAGGGAAAATATTGGTCATCTTTTAATGTAGTAACTGACGATGGTTTATACTGGTGCATGTGGAACACTGGAGATTTGAACTTGTGGTTGTATTCTTGCAATGAAGGTGCTCTGAGCCCCTTCACTATTCCTCTGGGCCCATGAAGTGGTGTCTTGTTACACTTCTGATTTATACTTCCCTCTCAGCCAGCGATGTTTGGTATCTTTCCATGCGCTTATTGGCCATCTGCACATTCTCTACCCATTTCAGTTGGGTTTTTGCATTTATCGTTGAGTTATATACTTAGGTACTGCATATATTCCAGGTACAGCTTTTTTTATTGATATGATTTACAAAATTTTTTTTAAAAACCCTGATTTGTGGATTGTCTTTAGATTATCTAGGTGATGTGTTTTTAATCCTTTAATTCTTGTGTTTTTATTCTCTCAGCATTGTAAAATTGAAGTTTCAAAGTTCCACAAATCAGAACATTGTTATTTATTTTTTATCTACATTGCCTAGAGTGCTCATCCATAGTACATCTATTAAAGAGTTCGACCGGGGGCTGCCTACTGCCTTTTACTCTTACTTTCTTAAAGACAATTTGATTTCCTTGTTGATAATCCATGGTCATGTGTTGGTTTGTTTTCTTACAGGTGAATCGGTTTAGTAAGGTGGAAGACAGAGCGATTTTTGTCACTGATCGTCACCTGTATAAAATGGACCCCACTAAGCAGTATAAGGTGATGAAGACGATCCCTCTATATAACGTGAGTGTCTCTGCTTCTCCAGGGTTCCTACCCTGCTGCTCATTCACCGTCCGTATGTGAGTCAGTAGTCTCGGGAAACCCACAAATTATTGAAGTTCTGGGCCAGTTGAATAGTTTGTACAAATGTTTTCCATATGGATAATCGAAAGCTTTCTATAGATTAATGAAGGCATTTTTAAAAATTCATATATAAGCACTAGGCATTCTTTCTCTATTTGCAGTGACCTTTCTCTGTCTCTGTCCAACTCTCCACTTAAATGTGGTGACCTAGGATAGAGCTGCTTCTTTATTTTCATACACTCAGGTAGAAAATTGTAGAGAATTGGCTTATGAAAACATCACCTCTCCTTAAAGTGTAAAATATGTGCTATTTCTAGAAGTTCTGTTTACCCATGTTTATACACACATAACTGCTGGTTGTGTGGTCTCTGACTCTCCTCAGTTGTTCTGTCTCCATAAGGTTTTGTGTTCTGTAATGATTTCTTAAAATATGAAATTTGGTGGATGTATCCTTGAATCCCAGTATAAGAGTTAAATTTCTCTTCATCTGCTTTACAAGTAACTTCTGACTCTTCAGAGGTATTCTACTGGATTAGTGGGCCTTTTCCTGTGTTGGTGATCTTTCTCTGCTAGTTCTTAGTGGGGGAGTTCTGTTTTTTATCCAATAATGGGATTTATAAGGAGTGTTATAAATTCCTTTGATCTCTGCAAAAGAGAATAGGTCCTTTCACTAAGTGATTTGTAGCATCCCTGCAAACTCTTTGTCCTGATTAAGGTTGTGATTTAACTCAACTATACGTGCCTCTCTCTATCCTCTCTATTCTCTCTCTCTCTCTCATCTCTCCCCTCTTCCCCTCTCCTTTTCTCTCCTCTCTTTCTCCCTCTCTCCTCTTTTTCTCTCCTTTCTCTTTCTTTCTCTCTCCTACTCTTTCTGTCCTTACCCCCCCTTTTTTCCATTTCAATAGAGAGGAAATGATATTCTAAGACATTCTTAGTAGTTCATTTAGTATTTATTTAGTCTGCAATGACTGGTGACAGTCTTATCGTCTAACAACCCTGCAGTAAACATGTGGAGCCCAAGAAGAATAAACTGTGATATGCATTTTATTTCTCTTAAGTAGAGCTCAATCAGGTACATGATATAAATTCAGTAAGTAGTTAAAGAATTCTTTGAACTGAAATTATTTTCCCAAACCACGTCCCTTTTTTCATTTTGACAGGTGTATATTCATAGTTGCTTCCCCCTTTATCATCACCATCAGTGGCAGTATCAGTAATGTGTAACAGCATCAAGATTAAGAAGATTTAACAGTATTTATAGTAAAGGTCAATAGAATGGCCAACTGGTTAGAAATGCTGAAAGGGCTCTCTGCCTGCATTGCCTCGCATTCGTTCCCTCTCATTTCTGTGCCTACCAGCAAGACTTCCGCTCTCAAAATGCTCGTCATCCAGCTGCCCTCAGCCTGCCAAAGCCCAGTCTGCCCTCTCACAAAGATGGGATGAACTGCCCACCCAGGGATGGTGGGTGTGGAATCCCAAAGTTCCAGTTCTGTCCCTCATTGGCCAAAACAGTTCCAAGGTCACTTTTCCTGGTTTCCTGGAGCTGCTCCGCAGGAGGGAACTGCAGGTGCCCACAGAGCTCAGACAGCCCATCGGGCATTTGTCTGGCTTGAGAATGGGTCCTGTCTTCAATTCCATAAGGTTATGAATTATTCTGGGAAAGAAAGAAACTTTGGGAATACTGTGTCGTAGAGTCAATCAGGGTTTTAGCTCCTCTCATAGAAATATGGTAGTTAGACATTATGGTGTCTTTTTTCAGCTTTATTTAGATATAATTGACTTAGCATTTTAGTGATTAATATGTACAACGTATTGATTCCATTCGCTTGTATATAGCAAAATAATCCCTTTGTAGTGTTAGCTGAGACCTTTGCCTCATCACATTATTACCATTTTTATTATAAGAACATTTAAAATCTATTCAACAATGTTTAGGTATACAGTGTAAGCTGCAGTAACCCTGCTCTGCATTAATCCAAGCTTTCACTAAAACTAGAAGCCAGCACATTTTAGCTAATACCACCCTGATCTCCCCATCCCTGTCCCCTGGTAAATACTGCTGTACTCTCTGTTTCTGTGAATTTGACTTTTCAGATTCCACATATTAAATGATACCATACATACTTGTCTTTGTATGACTATCACAGTTTGTTGGTTTTATAACTCCAGTACATCAAAATGTGACTATTTATAGATAGGAGCTTGAAGATGTGATTAATTTAAAATGAGGTTATTCCTATGAATGATGTCCTTTAAAGAAAAGGCAATTGGAAACACACACACACACACACACACACACACACACACAGCCATGTGAAGATGTAAAGGCAACCTTTTAACATCCAAGGAAAAGAAGCTAACCACTCCAGTCACTGATTCTTAGACCCTAACTCCAGAATAGTGGTGAAATTATTCTCTATTTAGGCCAGCGCTATGGTACTTTGTATGCCCTAGCAAACAAATACACTGACTTACTATAAAGTTCACCACTTGGAAATCACAGTTCAGTAATTGAGAGTAAATGTATGTAACTGTGCACTTACCATATTATCTACTTCTGGAACATTTCCTCCAGAAAGTTCTCTCATACCCATTTATGGTGCCTTTCCACGCCAACTTCAGAACTAGACAGTCCTGGAGCTTCTTTCCATCCCAATAAACCAACCCCTTATAGAAATTTCATAATCTTAGAATTACACGCTGGGGTTTTTTTTTTCCATGTCTGGCCTCCTTCACATCATGTCATTTTTCTCTGATTTATCCTTGTGTCATATCCTAGTAGTTTGCTTCATTGCCATGGACTGTGCCTTGGCATAAAATACTATATTGCATTTCTACAGCTTTAATGGTGTGTAGCCATTACATACACTCACACACAGATTTCTTTGGGATATATGTCATCTCTATTGGGGAGGCAGAATGGCTGCCATAATATGGCACTTAATTGAACTTTGTGAGAAACTGCTAAGTGGCTTTCCAAGGTAACTCTTCCATTTTACATTCTGCGTAGTATCCAAGTGTTAGATCCTCTGCTTCCTCACCAACACATTTCATTGCGCAGCACTGGCTTCATTTGTTCTAGGACACATACCTGGCAGTGCGTAGGAACTGGTTTTGAGGGGCCCACGTGGTGTTGGGGGAGTGCACAACCCCTCAAGTTATGCCTGCATCCCAGCACTGACTTTAAGTGTCTAGGACTGGCCTCATCTCAGTCTCTTTGATTATTTCCTCTTGGTTCATTTAACTTATTCTTCTACCCTTGTATTTTCTGTAAAGTAAAGTAAAGGCCCTCCCGTTGATCTTCAATTTGCTCGAGCGGGCCCAGTAACATCTCCATTGGAGACTTTGTTGTTACTGTGTCTGGCATATCGAATACTCTCGGTAGCTTGCCGGGCTCTCTGTAAACTTTTCCGTAAACTGGCTTTTCTGTAAACTGGAAGTTAAATCAGAAGTGTTAATTTTATTTGTGTAGTACGCTTCTACATACTTAATAAAATTATACCTTGCATCTCAACAAAAACAGCACACACACAGCTAGGACTACCTTCTGGATCATCTTCAGAAAACATCATCTTATTGTAGCCAATGTCATATGTTGCCCCTTTGGTAACCTATTTCTAAATGTATGTAGATTAGATTTCCCTACATCTTCCTGAGAATCTCAGTAGTTTAGTATGAAACTGTTTGGGGCCAGGGCTGGAGCCATAGTACAGCAGGTAGGGCACTTGCCTTGCACATGGCTGACCTAGGTTTGACTCCCAGTACACCACATGATCCCCCAAGATTTGTGACTTACAGAAATTCCCAACAGAATGCATAGAGTGCCCATATACCCTATACCAATTCCCCCATTTGTTTGTTTCTCACAAAGATTTGTGATTTACAGAAACTCCAGACAGAATGCATAAAGGGTGTGCATATACCCTACACCAATTTCCATTTTAACAAATTTTTGCTTTAATATAGTATGCTTGTTACAGTTATTGAACCAGTATTGATATTATTATTAAACATCCCTAGGTTTTACCTCATGTCATCCTCCTCACCCAGGATCCCACATTATATTGATCTAGTCTAGTTATCCTTCCCCTTTCACTTCCTGGTGGCGGCTTTTTCTTTTTCTCAGACTTTCCTTCCTTCTGATAACCTTGACAATTGGGAGATGTGTCAGAGAGCCCACTGCAGAAATCTCAAAAGAGCACAGAGAGAAAGTGATGTTTTTCACCACGTGCTCTCTAGGATACATCCTGCCAGCTGACTTCTAGCTATTGCCTGTTGACCTTGATTCACTGGCTGAGGTAGCATTTGTCAAGTTTCTCCACTGGGATTCCTCCTCCTTCATCCCACTTCCCGAGTTGTTCTCTTGGGAAAGAGGTCAGATAGACTCTATTCCCTAGGGAAAGGTGGATCTGTGTGAATTGTTAGGGATTCCTTCTCATGGTAGGTTTGTCTCCCCACACCCCCCCCCCGACTTGTTAATTTAGTCAGCCATTTATTTATGTCAGTAGGACTAGAAAATGTTTCTTTTGTGGTCTGAGTCCTAAGTGAGTGCTGCCTTAGTTGTTCACATTGTTCCTGGTTGGGCCACTGGAAGCTCTTTCAGTGTTTCAACACTCGCATATACAGGGGGATATGGTATGTTCAGATGGTTGGTTAGCGTTTCCTTCTGCCACTGCAGAAAATTCCAAATTTGTATTATATATTTTATGCCCCAGTCCCAGAACTTCCCACTTTTCCAAGGAGCCCTTATTTTCAGAATTAAGTCTTTCTGGTGGTCCTAGCACTGTTTCTCTTAGGTCATCCCAGTTGGAACTGTACAGAAATGTGTATGTGTGCATCAGTCCCTGCGTTCAACCGCACTGCAAATAGTTCATGTAGAACTACATTGTGTGCTTTAATTAAAACATGACTTCATACTGACATCTCTGATTAATCCCTTA